CACACACACACACACACACACACACACACACACACACACACACACACACACACACACACACACGATGGGTGCTAAAACTGTTGCACAGGTGTTAGCTTAGCAACAGACTAACAAAAGACAATAATTTCCTCTAAAACACGACCTGTTTTTACAAACATTTAATCCAACGTCTGATTTATTGGAGTGTGTCGTGTTACGGAGGGTGTTTTCACTGYGCTGTAATCTGTCATTGTGAGCAGATTATCGGCCGAAGCTGGTTGCTGAGCTCATTTCCGACTCACAGAATGGACCTTATCTCAGTTCCTCATCAAACGCACACACACACACACACACACACACACACACACACACACACACACACACACTGGTGTCAATCTGTAGGACAGTAAGAAGAGTGTTCACTGTGACCGTGACATCAGACTCACAAAGTCAGCTGTTAAAAATGGCTAAATTAAAACAGATTCTAACATAAACAATAACTACCTGCAGCATTTTTTTCAGTCACTTTCTAACAAAGATATGATGTTATCGAGTTCATCATGTCAACGTTTGGCTTCCGATGAATCCGACGTCTGTTGGGGTAGCTTTCAGTGGCATCAGAGGGGATTATTTTTCAGAAACGGCCCATTGACATTCCAGTGAATCTTTATTTATCCATCAGAGATACGCCAAGAATGTTCTTTTCTCACACAGATACACTGCTCACAGCCGTGACATGACAACAGGAAGCACGTCAACAACTTTTTTTTTTGCTCACAGCTGAAAATTAACGCTAATAATGATGCTTTTTGCCTGCTTGTCTTTTCCAAAAGCATTTCATAAACCAGCCGACAAATATGAATGAATCTCGCACCAAGTAATTATTTTATGTTTATCTAAAAAACAATTCAGGATGGCCACCACAGCTAATCGGCATTAGCCAGCATAAAATCACTATAACTCAGTCAACTGTGCGGATACAGAGCTAAAATTTGAAGTGGCAGTAGATGAGAGTTGTCTACATCTCATACTGAGTGGGACATGAAACTAGAGATCGGACGATATTTGTCGTTTTTTTCTTGTTTCGACATTCGCCGTTACAATAAAAAATAATCTTAACTTACGATTGTTTTTCTTGTTATATATTTAAATGTTCTACATTGTTTGCTATCCATTGTGTTTTGTTAATAAATATTTTTTTTGTTTAAACTGAGAATTGTGTAACATTTATGATCATGTCATTTTTATCATGTAAATGGAGGGAGAAAAAGCAWTATCGCCTTCAAGAATCGGCACAAAAAATCGTCAGAACATATCAGGGATCAGKTACACTGATGTCAAAATGATCTGTATCGACATCGGCCTTAAAAAGCAAATACTGTAAATMGGTCAATCTCTACATGAGGATGTTTATCATCTTATATTTAAGGTTTAGCTAAAGGAATGGTAGGCCCTTTAAWTCTTAAGTGTTTACTTTAAAAGATAAAATATCTTTGGAATCCTTCCTAAGTAGATTTCACTGCAGGTTTTGACAAATGTCACTAAAATAAGCTCACGTTTGTTGATTCCTTCTTTACTATCCTAAAGTCATAAAAAGGAAATACTGCACCGTCAGTATCACATATCACCAGTTTAAGTGGGGGGAGGGGGTCTGTCCTTAGAAGCAATTACGCTATTATGAAAATATCGACKCCTTCATTAATCTCCCACTTTCTTCTAATAAATCAAGTTTCATGAAGTCAATTTGTTCCTTTTGTCTCCTTTGCCCCAACTGTACAGATCCCGTGCCTCCGTCCAAGGTCAGGTGATATTCTCTTCCCAACAGCAGGAAGCRTGAAGCATGAAACTGTATCTGTGGGACCTTGTATGTTCAGACTCATGAGAAACAGCTGCAGGAATTCTTTCAGGTGCAAATTACAGTGAAACAGTTGCTCAGATCCGCAGACATCCACACGCACGCACTGCAGCAGAGCGGTGCAGCAGAGTTATCACTGCCATCCGTCCCATCAATCCCTAAMATCCTCCGGTAATGTGCCCCCCCTCCACCCAACACACACACACACATATCACTAAACCTCTACAGACTCCACGCAGTGAGTTTACAGTAAAGTACAGGAAGGACTTACTTCTGCCAAACATTCTGCTGCCTCCTCCACTGCCATGTTTCTCAGCCTGCGGCTCCAAGTGTGAAACCTGAGCACTCAGTGGCCGTGGCAGCTAGAGCCCCGGCCTGGAAGCCCAGGGAGGGAGGGATGGATGTGGTGGGGTAAGAACGAGGGGGGAGGGACAGTATTGTGTGGCAGGGAAATGGAGATAGGGGCGTTATGTCACAACTAAAAATACCTGGATACCAGCGAGAAACCCAGGGACGCTCCGACGTTAATCTCATTCCTTCAAACGTTTGCTTCATTATCACAAGTCACTATAGAATCACGTGACTGATTTTTCTTGAACTGATTTGTTTCTGGAGTTTTCATCATTTGTACTGTATAATCATAAATAGYTACCAAAACACAACTTATTCTCAGTGTAGTGTTCAAGATCGGTCTTGGTCTTGCGAACTGTCCCAAGGCCATATTCTGATGGTCTTGGTTTCTGTCTCGTCTTGGACTCAAACACATTTGTAAGCTGCCTTGTCTCTGTCTCAGACATCAGCTGTGTTTCCATCCACTTTTAATGCAAATTTTGAGCAAACTTTCAAAATGTTGCAAAAACGAAAAAAGAAAAAGAAGAAATTCGAATCAGACGTGYTTCCAGCTACTGGCTTGGAGTGAATCAACCAGACTACGCAAAGTGTAATTCCTTCACACCGCTGTAGTAAACAGGAAGTAGAAGTCACAAACTTGCAGGAACCACACATCTCTGGACAACGGTGGAATGTGTTCCTATTGGACAAGTTGTAATTGTTCAATCGTATCAACTAGTATTATTGATGTTCCATTCTGTCTGGAGACACAGAGAAAGAAATGTAATTCTCTTCACGTTACGGGAATATCCAGGAAGACGCCGACAGTGAGAGAAGAGTCCAGCCGCAGCACAAGATGGTAACGGACAGCAGGAAGAGCTGATCAAAAAATGTAACGTAAATGTTCAGTGTTCGCTTTGTCAGAACTTATTCAGCAAATATGTTTCCATCTTTCTTTTTAGCACATTAACTCGTTTTCAGAAAAAAACAAACACCACCTCAAGTGATCGTAAAAACCTTTTAGCAAAATTGAGGAAGTTTTTTTTTCTGAATTTTGCGGTTTCCTTCAAACAGCAAAATTCAGCAAAGTTGTGTTTTGGATAGAGGATGTGTTTAGTGATGTTACAGCTTCAGTAGTTGTTGTGTGTTGCGGTCACAATCTCTGGTMCCGGTAAGTCCATAATTTTCATTTCCCTACATAAATTTTGTAAACTTAGRAGTTAAATCAACGTTCTACCAAACAGATTTTCTATTGATCACGTCTATCACAAAGATATATCATTTTATCGCCCAGGTTAGGTGGTCTTCACCACAACATTACTTATTCTTTCAAAATTACAGTCAATTATTGGTTTAAGGTGAGCTGACAGGTCAACTACAGCCAAAAGTTAAAATTAGCAAAACAGTAGCCAAATCTTAAAAACAAAAGCTAAAATAATCTACAATCAAAAATCTCTTTTTTAAAGGRATCAAATTTTCCATTTACTATTTAAGTTGAATATCTTAAAAATTATTAAAGTGACCGATAACTAAATGTTTCTGAACAAGTTGAACATATTTTATACCTGAATGGCTAAATTAACTTAAAGTATGCTAAGTCGGTATTTACACAAAGCTTCAGCTCATTTTGATGGACTTTCCAGGGGCAAAGTTTACTTTACACCCACCTAAAACCAAGCAAGAAAAAGTTTAGTTCCATTTTCTGTGGATTTGTCTCAACATCGTTACCTGTTGTGAAACCCACTGTGGGAAATTTCCCTCTTGGGAAATCAGTGCCGAGAACCGGAGGAGCAAAGATATAAAAGAAACTGTTGTTGGGAAAATACAAAGTGGTGAGAAGCTTTAACTAACTGGTGAGTTTTTAAATGAGCCGTTCACATTATAAACTATGTTAAATACTAAAAAATGTCCTTTCTTCCAGGATAAAGAAAYTCATCTTTACAAACATTAAGCCGATAACAGAATGATGGTGAGTGAACCAACAAAAACGGTTTTATTTGAACAGTTTTTTTTTATTGCTGACCAGTAATAATATAATTAATTGTGTCCCTATGAGTTTGTCTGTCTGTTAGCAAAATATCTCAAGAACCACAGCACAGATTTTAATGAAACGGTCAGAAAATATTCACTGTATGCACTTAATAACTGATTGATTTTTGGAGTCAACCTCATTCAAGATGGCGGTTACAGCTCATCAACTTTACAAACACAAAAGTGTTTGCATCTTAATCAGTTTTACAGATATTAAGCTAAAACTTGCTGTGGTGGTAGCCGTGAGTTTAAAAATGTGTTGGGCCATATGAATCCCTAGGGGAAAAAACATTTTTTGTTTGCTTAAAAAGTGCCCAATGTTTAGGAAAATGGGCTCTACATTTATATAAATTATTATTTCATATTTTGTATAAGTAAACATGTAGCAAACGTYATGCAACGTAMGAGTGTTTSATTCAGTTTTATTTATTTATGTTTGATCTGATTTGTGTTTTTGCTGTTCCTTACGGTATAAACTTTAATAAAAATATGTTATTGTTTTTTTTCCTCATTGCAGCTCAYATTTTTGCTCGCGGCACTGCTGCCGGCAGCAGCATATCCACAGACTCAGCCCTCGGACTGCAGCGAYGTTTACAGATCCGGGTCGGGTCTGGACGGCGTGTACACCATTTACCCCGCAGGCCCCACCTCTCCTGTGCAGGTTTACTGTGACATGAGTAACGACGACGTTGACGGCTCTGCAGAAAAATGGACGGTGAGGACAAAGGAACAAAGTCCACCTCAAATAAACAATGACTCAGCATTTACTCTGCTGCAAAAATGTTTACTATTAAATACATCCTCAGCACACGTTTTGTACAAATAGCCTGTCAGAACTATTTTTTTAATCCTAAATGGGAACTTTAGAATCACTGAAACAGTGAAATATGAGAAGTTATTAATAATTTAAATGCACAAATCTAAAATCATTAAATAGTGTCAACTAATTTATTTTTCTTTTAACTCTAAAACCAGGTGATTCAAAAAAGAAAAGATGGCACGGTAAACTTCTATATGAAGTGGGATCACTACAAAAAAGGATTTGGCAGTGCTGCTGGAGAGTACTGGCTCGGTAAACACACATTTTCATGCATTTAAAAACTAAGATTCTTTTGATTTTTTTAAATGTTTAAAACAAGATAATAGAAAAAGCTTAAATTTACATAAAGGTAAAGATGTGAAGTGCTTTGATATCATAGTTTGACATATATTAAAAGTGAGAGTGCTACTAAAAAATCCAAGTAAGTGTCTCTGGAGTAAATGGGCAGAGTTTCTTGTTGTGTGGGCAGAGTTTGTGCTTGGTCAGGTTGATTTGGTTTGTGAGGGAAGTTAAAAGATGAAGTAATGATAACAGTAAAACTATTTTGAGCAATTTATAGTCTTCAAGTTTGGTACAACTAACACGTTTGTGTCTCGAGTTATGACTAACACAACTATTCACATGGCAACCTTTTTCCAGGCAGGTTAGAGGTGTTGTAACTGAGAATTGTTACACGTCCCTCCACAGGTACGGCATTTCAATTTCCTGTGGTTAGAACATTCATGTCTCCAGTTATGACTAAAATTAACATTATATTTAAAGTTATAAGTGCTTCCTGATCGTTTGGACGAAGCCAMACKTCCCCCCAGCTGCCCGGCGTTCTTTAAACTCCACCCAAAACAGTCAATCCAACCAATCACGTCTTTAACTTTGCTATGTCTATAGCAAAATTGTTTTGTGTGTCTATGCCCACAAAACAAAAAWCTCCCACTTAGTAACTGCAGAGACCCCCTTCTCAAATAATCACTAATCTTTTGTTTAAAAAGTGAAAAAATGTATTACTATATTTTGCATACTTTGGCAAAAACAACGTTATTCCCTACCTATAAGTAACTCTGTATCACTGATGCCACAGCTGGTAACTATTAAAAACTTAACAGGATGCTTCAAAAATGACCTTTAACCTCAGTCTTAAAGTGCATCAAACTGGATTCTAAGCTTTATATCAGAGGATCAATTCCGCTGTCTTTCTTAGGTCTGGAGACGATGCACCTGCTGACCCAGGCCAAGAGCTACGAGCTGAGGGTCGACATGGAGGACTTTGAGGGTCAGAAGGTCTTCGCCCATTACTCGGACTTTTCTGTCGGCCCCGAGTCAGAAGGATACAAGCTCAGCCTGGGGACATTCGTCAAAGGAGCAGCAGGTGGCTTTACGAGCAGAGTTTTGATAACGACTTAAAACACATTTCCTCAAACTGAGCTTTAAATGCTTTGATTTTGTTCCCCCACTTTAGGAGACTCTCTAAGAGGTCACAACGGACAGAAATTTACCACCACAGACAACGATCAAGACGTACATGCCTCAAACTGTGCCAGGCTGGTATACGGCGGGTTCTGGTATGCGGCGTGCTTTGGTGCCAACCCCAACGGCATCTACACATGGGGTCCTTCCCCCCGTGCAASTGGTGTGCAGTGGAACACCTTTAAAGGCCTTGAATACTCTCTGAAAACCATGATAATGAAGATTAGACCAATTGCTACATAAAAACTGAACCAACAGTTGAGAAAACTTCTTCAGGACTCAACAAAAACAGCTACAACTCCATCAACTTAAAATGATCTTAGTCTTAAATCCTAGCATGCTAGGAGGCAGGTGATATTTATTTTTTCTACAAATGCCAGGCCATTAATTCTTAAAACATTCATCCGTCACTTTTTATACTTCCATCTATGAAAACGCATTTCATAATAACTGAAACAACCCAGCAAGTTTTAGTTAAAAGAACTAGAGAAACAAATTAAGTTGCATGTTTGTTTTACAGAGAGCAGAGCTACAGGTCCTCTAGCGGCCCCTGCTGGCTGGTCCACAGTACTGCACACTCTGCAGCAGGAGATWAAAGCTCCTGTTTAGCCTGGGATTCTGTAAAATCCTGACATGTAAACAATAAAATCTGTCTGTTTTTTTTCTGTGGACATTTAAAGTACACACAACAAAAAGTGCTGTTTTTGTAAATATTTAATAATGTTACTGATGTTACAAAGTGCAGTTTTTATTAAAGCCAGTTATTCAGAAGAAAACTAATGTGGATTATTGTAAATGTATTATGATACAAACATAAAAATTATCATATAAAGTGTGTGTTCTGTCTGAATGTGTGTGTTTTGCTTCCTCTGATTTGCTGCCATCTGATTGGCTGCCCGGCTACTGCAGTCTCTGTGTTTTCTCGGCACTTGAGTTACAGATGGACGGTGCAAAACACACKCTTTATCACCTCCGTTTCCCGCCACTCCTTTCACATTTCATCTAACCAACGAGCCCCTTGATCTGTGATCTCAGGTGTAGTATTAGAGCCTTTTTTAAGGTTCAAACTCCCAAAGTAAGACACATCACGCCTCATTACATCTTTGTACAATTGGCCAGCAGATCCTGCTGATTCCTTATTGGTTGGCAGAGATGACGTTGCTCTGAGCTGATGTAAGGTTTTATAAAGAAAAACCGGGCAGAACTCAATCCTGCAGGGTCATGCTTCTCTAAATGCACACTTTCAGCTGCATGAGTTCCAACCTCTCTGTGTTTAAACTGTGTCACTGCAAACACAAGAAGCTCCAGAGAGAAGGACAGCATCAACGTCTGTGAGAACGCTTCCTGATTATCATCATCTCTGAAAGAGACGGAGCTCTGCTCATGAATAAATTAACACCTGTCCTGAACCAGAAAGCATGCGAGGCACGCAGGGTTCCAACAGGGACCAGCAGCATGTAAGCAACCATGTATAAACATACAAAAATCTCCCTCTAATCATGCAAARAACTTGATAGCTACAGGATCTTTCAGGAGATATTGATTTGGTTAGAGACCCTTAAAGACCACGGCTCAGTGAGGCAGCACTGAGGCGCTGCAGTAGAATCATGGAACAATGACTTTATACCCACAATCACATTTGCATGTATTTGCTAATTTTTTAAAGGGGGTGAGGGTGGCGTGAGTATTGTGCAAAATTGACTTTTTTGAGCTTTACATCTTGTTATAACGTCATTCTGTCATCAAAAACATCCCCAGAGTGYTGCTTTGACTCATTCATTCATGTTTGTGAAATCCTTGAATCTCTTGTGGTAGTCATGTGGAGTTGCCTAAACGCTTGCTGGTACAAAGCTCCGCCTATTTACCCAAAGCTCCTCTCTGAAGCTCAGCCCCCAGYCGAGCACCCACCGCACAGAGCACCCTTCCCCCACACAGATCCACCAGACTGGTGGCAGGAGAAATACTTCATAAAAAAATCACTCATTCATGGCAAAACACATCTTTAAAATGGTGGATATTCATAATTTCATTGCAAAACAGAGCTTCATAATGACCTAGACTTACAGTTTCTTCACAAAAAGTAGCTTAACATTGTTAAGGGTTAGACAATAAAATTGAAACACCTGCCATTTTAGTGTAGGAGGTTTCCCTGGTGGCCAATCTTCATTAATTGCACATTGCACCAGTAAGAGCAGAGTGTGAAGGTTCAATTAGCAGAATTTGATTTGATTTGATTTG